CTTTCTATGGGATTTCTGTGAGATTCCTATGGGATTTCCATGTTATTTCTACGATCTTTCTATGGGATTTCTGTGAGATTCCTATGGGATTTCCATGTTATTTCTATGATCTTTCTGTGAGATTCCTATGGGATTTCCATGTTATTTCAGTTATTTCTATGATCTTTCTATGGGGTTTCTGTGAGATTCCTATGGGATTTCCATGTTATTTCTATGATCTTTCTATGGGATGTCTGTGAGATTCTTATGGGATTTCCATGTTATTTCTATGATCTTTCTATGGGATTTCTGTGAGATTCTTATGGGATTTCCATGTTATTTCAGTTATTTCTATGATCTTTCTATGGGATTTCTGTGAGATTCTTATGGAATTTCCATGTTATTTCTATGATCTTTCTATGGGATTTCTGTGAGATTCTTATGGGATTTCCATGTTATTTCTATGATCTTTCTATGGGATTTCTGTGAGATTCCTATGGGGTTTCCATGTTATTTCTATGATCTTTCTATGGGATTTCTGTGAGATTCCTATGGGATTTCCATGTTATTTCTATGATCTTTCTATGGGATTTCTGTGAGATTCTTATGGGATTTCCATGTTATGTCTATGATCTTTCTATGGGATTTCTGTGAGATTCCTATGGGATTTCCATGTTATTTCTATGATCTTTCTATGGGATTTCTGTGAGATTCTTATGGGATTTCCATGTTATTTCTATGATCTTTCTATGAGATTTCTGTGAGATTCCTATGGGATTTCCATGTTATTTCAGTTCTTTCTATGATCTTTCTATGGGATTTCTGTGAGATTCTTATGGGATTTCCATGTTACTTCTATGATCTTTCTATGGGATTTCTGTGAGATTCCTATGGGATTTCCATGGTATTTCTATGATCTTTCTATGGGATTTCTGTGAGATTCCTATGGGGGTTCCATGTTAATTCTATGATCTTTCTATGGGATTTTCTGTGAGGTTCCTATGGGATTTCCATGTTATTTCTATGATCTTTCTATGGGATTTCTGTGAGATTCCTATGGGATTTCCATGTTATTTCTATGATCTTTCTATGGGATTTCTGTGAGATTCTTATGGTATTTCCATGTTATTTCTATGATCTTTCTATGGGATATCTGTGAGATTCTTATGGGATTTCCATGCTATTTCTATGATCTTTCTGTGAGATTCTTATGGTGTTTCCATTTCTGTGAGATTCCTATGGGATTTCCATGTTATTTCTATGATCTTTCTATGGGATTTCTGTGAGATTTCTATGGGATTTCCATGTTATTTCTATGATCTTTCTATGGGATTTCTGTGAGATTCCTATGGGATTTCCATGTTATTTCTATGATCTTTCTGTGAGATTCTTATGGTGTTTCCATGTTATTTCTATGATCTTTCTATGGGATTTCTGTGAGATTCCTATGGGATTTCCATGTTATTTCTATGATCTTTCTATGGGATTTCTGTGAGATTCCTATGGGATTTCCATGTTTTTTCAGTTATTTCTATGATCTTTCTATGGGATTTCTGTGAGATTCCTATGGGATTTCCATGTTATTTCTATGATCTTTCTATGGGATTTCTGTGAGATTCCTATGGGATTTCCATGTTATTTCTATGATTTTTCTATGGGATTTCTGTGAGATTCTTATGGGATTTCCATGTTATTTCTATGATCTTTCTATGGGATTTCTGTGAGATTCCTATGGGATTTCCATGTTATTTCTATGATCTTTCTATGGGATTTCTGTGAGATTCCTATGGGATTTCCATGTTATTTCTATGATCTTTCTATGGGATTTCTGTGAGATTCTTATGGGATTTCCATGTTATTTCTATGATCGTTCTATGGGATTTCTGTGAGATTCCTATGGGATTTCCATGTTATTTCTATGATCTTTCTATGGGATTTCTGTGAGATTCCTATGGGATTTCCATGTTATTTCTATGATCTTTCTATGGGATTTCTGTGAGATTCCTATGGGATTTCCATGTTATTTCTATGATCTTTCTATGGGATTTCTGTGAGATTCCTATGGGATTTCCATGTTATTTTTATGATCTTTCTATGGGATTTCTGTGAGATTCCTATGGGATTTCCATGTTATTTCTATGATCTTTCTATGGGATTTCTGTGAGATTCCTATGGGATTTCCATGTTATTTCTATGATCTTTCTATGGGATTTCTGTGAGATTCTTATGGGATTTCCATGTTATTTCTATGATCTTTCTATGGGATTTCTATGATATTTCTTTGGGACTACTATTGGATTTCTATGGGATGTCGATTGAAAGTAAATTGGCAGTAAATTGAATTTAATTGAAAGTAATTTCAAAGTAATTTGAAATCAATTCAAAGTAAATTGAAAGTAAATTGAAATCAATTGAAAGTAAATTGAAATCAATTGAAAGTAACTTCAAATCAATTGAATGATCGAGATCCACAATAGTCTGGTTTGTTTGAGGGTACACTATTGTGTCCAGCTGCTTCCTGAGGTGATTTTGTTTTTTAACATTCCCTTTACATGTTCCTTTGCTAAAGCTTTACTTTCTCAATTAGGTTCTTTTATTTAGAATTCTCAGAAATGCTCAATTTCCCAAAATATATGATGTTTTCAAGGGGGTAGTCCATGAGCAACCCTGATACACAATAGTCTGGTTTGTTTGAGGGTACACTATTGTGTCCAGCTGCTTCCTGAGGTTATGTTTTTTTTCAAACATTTCCTTTTCCTTTTCCTTTGCTAAAGTTTGTTTCCTTTTACTTAGCTTCATTTTTCTTGGAATCAAAACCAAAGGCTTTCCAAAGGATTAGTTTCAGCCAAGCAAAAAAAAACATGAATGATCATGATACACAATAGTATGGTTTGTTTGAGGGTACACTATTGTGTCCAGCTGCTTCCTGAGGTTATGTTTTTTTTTCAACCATTTCCTTTTCCTTTTCCTTTGCTAAAGTTTGTTTCCTTTTACTTAGCTTCATTTTTCTTGGAATCAAAACCAAAGGCTTTCCAAAGGATTAGTTTTAGCCAACCAAAAAAAACATGAATGATCATGATACACAATAGTATGGTTTGTTTGAGGGTACACTATTGTGTCCAGCTGCTTCCTGAGGTGATTTTGTTTTTTTTACATTCCCTTTACATTTTCCTTTGCTAAAGTTTTTTCTTTTATTTTCTCAATTAGTTTCTTTTATTTAGAATTCTCAGAAATGCTCAATTTCCCAAAATATATGATGCCTTATTAAAACCCAATTAAAAAACATCACTCAAACAATTTTTCAAGGGGGTAGTCCATGAGCAACCCTGATACACAATAGTATGGTTTGTTTGAGGGTACACTATTGTGTCCAGCTGCTTCCTGAGGTGATTTTTTTTTATTTTACTTGAAAGTAAATTGAAATCAATTGCAAGTAAATTGAAATCAATTGAAAGTAACTTGAAATGAATATGATCATGATACACAATAGTATGGTTTGTTTGAGGGTACACTATTGTGTCCAGCTGCTTCCTGAGGTGATTTTGTTTTTTAACATTCCCTTTACATTTTCCTTTGCTAAAGTTTTTTCTTTTATTTTCTCAATTAGTTTCTTTTATTTAGAATTCTCAGAAATGCTCAATTTCCCAAAATATATGATGCCTTATTAAAACCCAATTAAAAAACATCACTCAAACAATTTTTCAAGGGGGTAGTCCATGAGCAACCCTGATACACAATAGTATGGTTTGTTTGAGGGTACACTATTGTGTCCAGCTGCTTCCTGAGGTGATTGTTGTTTTTTTCTTTTACTTGAAAGTAAATTGAAATCAATTGCAAGTAAATTGAAATCAATTGAAAGTAACTTGAAATGAATATGATCATGATACACAATAGTATGGTTTGTTTGAGGGTACACTATTGTGTCCAGCTGCTTCCTGAGGTGATTTTGTTTTTTTTAACATTCCCTTTACATTTTCCTTTGCTAAAGTTTGTTTCCTTTTACTTAGCTTCATTTTTCTTGGAATCAAAACCAAAGGCTTTCTAAAGGATTAGTTTCAGCCAAGCAAAAAAAAACATGAATGATCATGATACACAATAGTATGGTTTGTTTGAGGGTACACTATTGTGTCCAGCTGCTTCCTGTGGTGATTGTTTTTTTTCTTTTACTTGAAAGTAAATTGAAATCACTTGCAAGTAAATTGAAATCAATTGAAAGTAACTTGAAATGAATTGAAAGTAACTTGAATTCAATTGAAAGTAGTAAATTGAAATCATTTGAAAGTAAATTGAAATCAAAAATTCAAATCAATCAATTCAAAATAAATTCAAATCAATTGAAAGTAAATTGAAATCAATTGAAAGTAATTTCAAATCAATTGAAAGTAAATTGAAATCAATTCAAAATCAATTCAAATCAATTGAAAGTAAATTGAAATCAATTTAAATCTATCATTTTTTTTTGATTTTACCGTATTCTGTACCCGGTACCTTGTTTTTCCACACTATTCTGTACCCCAAATTTGTTTGGGGGGGGGGGGCTCCCCACACTAATCAGTAACCTACATTATATATGTGTGTGTGTATATATATATATACACATGCGGATTTCTAAGTCACATGTGATTTGTTAGTGCTTATCTAACAACTTCCCAATTTCAACATGCACACGCAGGTGACTTTGGGGTGATATACACCCTCACAACTGGAGTCTTTTTTGCGACCACGTGCCAGAGCTGCCATGGCCGTTCTCGGCAGGGACTAGGGATCTGCCAGTCCAGGCGCCGGGCAGGAGTTTATATAACGTGCAGTGTACACTATAAGTTATCCACTTAGTCTTGTTTTTCGTTCATGTTTAACTCTTTCAACTTCATTTATTGTATATGGTATGTATGCATATATATATATACACATATATATATATATATACATATATATATATATACTTGTGTGTCGTGGTATTTATGTATGCATATTATACATACATACACAGCGCGAGAACAAAAAATGCATCGATCAAGAGGGTCACGTGTTTGCACGTCCGCTCAAAGTGTTTGGGATCCATCCAATACCCCAGCCTAGCAGCTTGGCCCAAGCTTCCAACCCTCGGCCCTTAAAATGGATCGCCAATGGCTGCGGCTGGCTTGGCCACACCGCACAGCATGGCGCAATAGGAGCTGGGAATATCTGGCCACTAAGAGTCATGTCATTGACAGCTCGTGGCGTTCAAACCCAGGCTCCGATGGGCCCCGAGCTCCAGAAATGCCACAAGTTTCATGGTTTCCTGTCGTGTCTTGAGATCGCCAAGGGGGCCATGGTGGAAGCAAAACAAGGCACAGAGAACCCACAAAAAGAAATGCCACGGGTAGTGCCTGTAGGCACTGCCTCAGCATCACTCAAGTAGCGGTGGCTCCTGTGCAAGGGAGCAAGCACCACCTTTCTGGCAAAACCAGGAGGATGCAATCTGGGAGGTCAAAATGTGACGAGTTGTCAGGGTTGAAGTTTCCAACCTACGGACCTCCAGATATCTCTAGATTTGGGGATTGCATGAAAACTGCAAGGCCCCCCTTTTTCATGAACCAACCAGCAGGATTTTGGGACAACGTCCGTCGGTGGCCTCTTCAGAGTCGCTGTCTCCAGGCGGGTTCTCTTCATCATCATAGTGCGCCTCAGCAGTCTCAGGTTGCCGTGGCTTCACCATCACCCCCCTTCCGCTGAGGAAGGAACATCACCATCACCTGGATCATCGTGCACCAGTTGTGGTAGCTGCAGTTCCGGCGCAGTGATTGCTACATGAGTCTCCTGGAAAAGGGCAACACCAACACCAAAGGCAAGGGCCGGCAAGGTGACTTCGACAGTGACAATTAGAAATTCCCAGTACCATGTTTGATTACCAGAGGGTAACCAGCACCAACCCATGGTAGGCATTGATTATACCGTATACCGTATACTCCATTCTCGTTGCATTCTCATTGCTTGTTGTTGGCATGGATAGCCCTATCCTAGGTACCCTGCACAAATAATTGTGGTACTTATACTTCTTAGCCGAGTGCATTCTGCCATTTGTAGCACAAAAACATTAAACACAAACATATATATATATCATTAAACACAAACATATATATATATGTATATATATATATATCTGTGTGTGTGTTCTTATGTAATTATGTATTGTGTATATATATATACACAATACATACTTGCTTGTGAATGCTACCAACGGACACCATGAGCCGCAGAACTGGGACGCCCCGCAGGCGATTGCGGATCTTGGCCTTCCATGGTCTCGCCATCTGAGGGCAGCTTCTGTGGCAGCTCAGGCCTGGGCCTGGGCCAAGGGTGCCAAGGTCCCGGGCATCAGTGGATGCAAAAAATCCACAGATGGCTTATAATTACCATAGTACCCTCTGGTAAATTAACATAGACCCTGAAAATCAACAATTTTTAATGGAAACTAATCTTCCAACCCCTATCTGGCAGGGTCTATGTTAATTTACTGGAGGATAATTAGTGGTACAACATCACAACTGAGCTATAAGTTAACCAGTTAAACTTACCATAGGTTGCACATCGTTCAGTGGAATTCACAGATGTCCAAGGTGCGGCTCAGTCTGTGGCGCCACCATCTTCGCCTGGATGATTATTGCAATCACCAGGATTTTATGGTGGATGTATGGTTGAATGGCGATATCATGGGGATAATCTAATCAAGGAATAATGGGTATGAGAGGAAGGGAATATCCCATTATCATTATCCACAGAAACCGTGGTATAAAAATGGGATATGAAAGATCTTCATTATAGTGAGATTCAACGGGGGTAGTAATGGAATATGAATAGGAGATATTGGGAATTAAACAATAGTAAAGTTGCATCCGAGGCTTAGAATGGTGGGCTAATGGGGATGTATAACAAATCTAACCAACAAATGAATTGCAATACAAAGAGGCGCACCCCGGTTATGTTGGCTGGTTTTAAACCCCCAGTGTCTGACTAGTTAGATATGTCTACCATAAACACTGTCACTAGGTAACAGAGTTCTCAACCATATACCCTAGTCAGCCTACTTAGATTATATACATATATATATATAATTATATAATTATATATATATATATTATTTTTATTTTAAAAACAAAACTTGGCTGAGTAGGGACCACCAGCCTGCATTCGTTGCGGGGGGCCAAAGATGGTGGCAAAGTCCAAGCTTGTCAAAGCCCGAAACATCCCAAAATGTGTTACCCTCCATTAAGCAAACATGGCGATGACAAAACCCCGCCTTCTGCAGATTTGCACATGATTTTCTCATTCCAATTGTTGATGTTCTTGTCTTCTATTGCCATGTTAGATTCCCAAAGGATACTCACCTGAGTGTCTAACCTGCAAATGCCTGGAACACAACATCCTAGTTCCATTGCCCCCGTTGTTCATCACTTTTCCTATCATGCTTTGTGGCCATAACTGGGGGTATACCCCATCCATCCAGTATTTCCTCATCATATCCCGATTGTACCACCATTGTTCAGGTTAAATCACCATTATCAGGATTCAAACCCACGATCTCCTTAATATTCATCTCCCTTTCATATTCCATTCATACCCAGTTCATGATTCACCAGTCAAAAATCACCCCCGCATCATCTTCCCACTGCTAAACCCTCCCATAAACCTATCATGGGGATGGAATCCTATCCATAGCTGCGCCGCTGCGCCAAGTCACCAAGTCTTCAGGCTTGGCCGTCACTTCACCTCCGCGTTGCCCGCGCGGCGGACGCAAAAGATAGGGCGTTTGAAGATTGGCGCATTGGGGGGGAGGTTTTACCAAAAATGCTCCAAAAGACTGACATGAATTGAAATGTGTGTTTTATTGTGTTGTTTACGGTCAGGAGGCTTATTCTCGTACCAAAAGGCGGCCGAAAACACAAATGATTTCATGACTGAGCTTAGATACCTAGCCTGGGTTAACATTCTCGTTGCCACGGTATGTGTATAATATATATATATATAATATGATATGAAACCCAAATTAACATGATATAAATAATATATGTAACATTCACATAGACATAACTTGATCCACGAAACGAGTGGTAATTACCTATGGCAATGTTCATCCAATTTTCAGCATCTTTCGTCTCCAAGGCGCTGCAATTGGCATCCTGCGCGTCACTCTGCTCCACGTTCCGCACGACGTGTCGCTCGTCGTCGCGCGGCGCAGGGGGGGCCGGGGGGCGGGGCGTCGCCACAGCGTTGCTGGGGGAGTTGGTGAAGGCTTCCCGGGCTTCGCGGCGACGCTTCCTGCGGCGAAGATGGGACTATGGGAATCATATGGCAATGATATTATAGCAATATGAGACTAGTATGGAATAAGATATGGAAATATTGTATGGTAATAATGTTTTAAAGAAATGTATAATAAAAACTGTATATTACTATTGGGTATTATCATTGACAATATCATTGCCATATTATTCCTTATTCCCAATCACCAAACAAAATGGGTGGTTCTCAGAAAAACGATGTTTTGATTTTGCATAAGCCATCCACATCCATCCACATCCATCCACACTTTTTTGGTGAACGCCATGGGCTCTGTCATGCTCTATCAAAACGGATCTCATTACTTGGTACTGGCGCTGCTTGACCAACCCGGTCCCGAAGCTGCGACAGAACCTCTTTACGGCTCTCCACCTTGAGGCGGGTGTGGAAAGCCCAACGGGAACAAATACGAGTTGAGTTATGCGTATATTAAAATAAAGTGTGGAATCATAGATATTAACATAGAAATTAACAGTGTATACCAATGGGAACAGTGTAGAAACCATGTTTGCAATGGGAACTGTGATCACAGTGTACACATAGAAATTTTCACATAGAAATCGATAGTACAACACGTGGGAAATGTTGTAAGAACAGAGAATGATACATGGACATTTGTGAAGTAAACCATGTCGCAAGTCCAAGGTTTCTCAGTGGGACCCACAGCAAACGGGTGAAATTCCATCACATTGGGGGTGATCCCAAAGGAACTGATCCAAATAGCACAAGGGTTTCGACTGGGGAAAGGTGTCAATAATTTTCATTTCGGCTGCATATTCAGTTCATAGGCCCAATTTATATATGGCTCAAATTGCTGGCGAAATAGCCCCAGTGAAACTGCCCCTCCATGATTCACAGCAAAAAAAATCTGCCTGGGAAGCATATCAACACTCCCGGTTTCAGGAAGATACCCAGCGTTACTTTTTGCTTGCCGAGCATCTGCTTGTGTAGACCCAAGGATCCTCGCATCGGCGCCTTGTTTTCCAACTCGAGGAGGGAAATGGGGTCACGCGTATTTGGGGAATGATGCCCATCCCGAATGCCAGAAAGTCACGCCACGGGGGCCCCATTTTACCACGTTTCTGGAAATACAGCAAAACGTAAGATGAGACATTTGTGTGGATTGTTTTGCACGTCTTGCAATATCAAAAACATAATATGATAGAACAATATTATTTTAATGTCATTGAAATTAAGATCCTGAAAAAGATCTGAATATAAAAGATAGAACGTGCACATAGATCTCAATGGTTCTACCAAGTTTTGCAATCAAGTAAAGATTGCATGACAAGCTAATAGTATGGAACCAAGCAGGGGCATGCAGCACATGACTCTTCTCACATATGTATAAAGAGTTGCAACCTATGTAATGCACATGAAATAATGTACATGGGGTATGTAAGGTCACTTTTGCCCAATCATCAAAGAACAACTGGGTAAAGTCAATCCTACATGCATGTAGCAAGATCAGCTTCAACATCTTCAACCCAACACACAGCACACAACTGGCACACAACCATTCCATCAACTTTGAGTTTTGAGACAACGAAAAGTTCCTTAGATGCCATGACAGGCTAGCCAAACCAACAGTGCAAGCCAAGGAAGAGCGTAGAAATAACATCTACAAACAATACAAAGAAAGAACATATCTGCACATTACTCATCATCAGAATTACATATGACTGTCATTAAGGATACCCTTGCAGAATGGTGAGTTATGCAATGTTGTATTGATTTTGATTCTAACAAAATCAGTGAGTGCGCTGATCAAATAATGTGTTCAGCTTGATTAGAGATAGCCCGTAGTTGCCGTAGAACGATCACAACATAAAATATATCCTAGGATATGCTACATACAGCCATGGCCAGGAGCAGATATACTATACAAAGTGAAACAGGTTTAGAGCTAAAGCTTATGCTAAAGTCTTCTTACCAATAGAAAATTGTGAAAATGTTGGTATTTGTTCGAAGGGTATTGTCAGATCAAATTATTGTAAAAAGGCTTATCCTGCTTTTCTCTGGCATTATCCTCCCCAAGCATATTGGCAAATAATCAATGGAAGTAATCATTGCACCTTGTGATGCATTGGCCTTTTCTTCTAAACTTTGGAAAACCATAGCACTATTGCTGACTCTATTTGGGGGTTGTTCAAAAATGTTCAAAACTGCGGTACCCCAAAACTGTCCTTACGCCGCCCTTTCGCGAACCTTTCGCGCCCCAGCACGCGCCCCAGCAGAAAATCGGGACAGGGAATATGATCATGTTTTCGTGTGCATATTTCGTTCAAAAAAAAGACGCAGGAGGATTGTATTAAAAACATCACGTCGTATAGAAACTGGAAACACATGAGTCTGTTCCAGTCCAAAGAGTTGATGGCATTGGGCAATTCAGTGTTCCTGTGAGGATGCTTGACTTCTGGACATTGGTTTTGCACCCATTCTTTGAAAAACTTTTGAAGTTTGGACATTGCAGAATGAACTAGGCCATTTTGGGTCAGGGCTGGGTCCGTGAGGATTCGTCTTTCGCGCACCTTTCGCAAACCTTTCGCGGATTTCTCGCCTAAAAAATGCAATTTCAGAAACTAATGTTTATGCAAGGGTGGCTTTTATAATTTGTGTTAATCAGGGTGCCACTGCCAATTTCAGAACATGGGACGATACGAAACTGAAACCCGTTCGTATCCATCGACAAAAAAAGGCAGATGTCTACATCTCTCTATACATGGATCCTGTGGCAATTGTGGAAGGAAAACTGCCAAGCCCAAGCATGAATACTATAACATATGTTTATAAATAGCGGTATTCAGACCTTTCGCGAACCTTTTGCCGCCCTTTCGATGCCTTTCGCCACTGCAGCAAAAACACACATCCACATCTGCAGATGTCACTCGGATACTAAAAGTCTTGCATGGGTTTTTTTGAACGACTCCCATTTGAAGTCAGAATTATAATGACCATTCTCTAGACTTGGATTGTAACTAAATACCCTTAACAGCTTGATCAGAGCATAGTGGCCATGCAGATGATGAAGCCAAATGATATAGCAGTTTGCTTCATTGGAATGACATCAGATTAGTTGACAGGCTATCAACCAAGGATAACATGATACTTTCTTTAAATGAGTTGTTTCTTTAAAAAAAAACACAAGTTTCTTAAGAAAGCTTGTTGCGAGAGATGAATCCGTAATCTGATGAACTAGTGAGCATAAGTTCAGAAGCTACAAAAGATTCATGATAAAGATATTGAAGCTGCATGTATTTAACTGAAGATTCGAAGCTCTGAAAACTGTCAAATAAAGAATTTGAAGAAGTGGAATAATCCAAATGAGAATTTTCAAGCTCCGAAAAGTTTAAAGCTTGGGGAAGCTTCCAACAAAGGCTTTAAAGCCTCGGAAGGCTCGAAATGGCCTCGGAAGGCTCGAAATGAAGATTTCAGAGCTCCGGAAAGCTCGGAGCTCTGGAGAGGGCTTCTCCAGAGCTCCAGAATCCTCAGGGGGGACCATTTTTTTTTGGAAGTTGCTTTTTCTATTTTTTTTTTGACTCCCGCGCGTCTGGGAGCTATGTATTACATGTAGTATTCTTTCAGTTTTTTTAGGGTTCCTTCCCTTAGGGATCTCTGTGGGTCCCTGCAGATCTCTGGAAATCGGGCATCTCTGGGGAAACAGTCATAAGTTGAAACACATGACAAAACTCTCCCCATGTGGAGGGTGGTTCCGGTGATTTTTTGGGATTTTCCCGGGCATTTGTTTCAGGCATTCTGCTCTGCAGACACGAGCCAACCACCAACCACCAACCTGGAGGCTGTGCGAGACCTTCTGTTTAACGCAGGAAGGCGCAAATCTCCCGCAATGCACACGCCAGATTTAAGGTTCATTTAAGGTTTGATTACGGCCTATTTTGGATGTTTGGTGTTTATTTAGGGTTGGTTTAGGGTTGGCTGAGGGTTGATTCAGGGTTTATTTGGTGATATTTTGGTGTAGAATTCTGGCTATATATATATATATGTGTGTGTGTGTGTGGTTTGGCATCTCTTTATGTAGGGTTGTTTTTGCTGACGTCGTCCAATACGGCCCCGGGGAATTTGCTAGTTTTTAACAAACATGGGTTGGGGTGGGGTAGGATGTTAACGTTCATGGTACGCTGATGATGATGTTGTTACGCTGCCCGTTGGGGTTGGGGTGGGGTGGGGTAGGATGTTAACGTTCATGGTACGCTGATGATGATGTTGTTACGCTGCCCGTTGGGGTTGGGGTGGGGTGGGGTGGGATGTTAACGTTCATGGTACGCTGATGATGTTACGCTGCCCGTTGGGGTTGGGGTGGGGTGGGATGTTAACGTTCATGGTACGCTGATGATGTTACGCTGCCCGTTGGGGTTGGGGTGGGGTGGGGTGGGATGTTAACGTTCATGGTACGCTGATGATGTTACGCTGCCCGTTGGGGTTGGGGTGGGGTGGGGTGGGATGTTAACGTTCATGGTACGCTGATGATGTTACGCTGCCCGTTGGGGTTGGGGTGGGGTGGGGTGGGATGTTAACGTTCATGGTACGCTGATGATGTTACGCTGCCCGTTGGGGTTGGGGTGGGGTGGGGGGGGATGTTAACGTTCATGGTACGCTGATGATGTTACGCTGCCCGTTGGGGTTGGGGTGGGGTGGGGTTGGGATGAATATGTACATATATATATATATATGTGTGTGTGTGTGCATGCCTGTTTGTGTCAGGTTACACATATATATATATATATGGATATATAAATATATGTATATATACTTGCATATATGTATATAAGAATCAGTGTACATGTCCAAGTATGCAAGGTATGTGTCTATGTCTGGTCTATCATGTATGCAACACGATTCTAACATATTGCTGGCTTCCAAGCGTTTTTTTTTTCGCTGATTTGCACATGGACTTGTAAAACCCATTGGAAATAGCACAAAATGGACACGAAGTGCTGTAAAACGCAAGGCATTTGAACATGGCGCAAAATCCATGGTGACAGAAAGTGCCATAAGGGTTATCGAAATAGCAAGATGCTTGTTTTCAAAACAAACAAAAACAGCGGGACCGCAATGGACGACGTTACCTTGTTTTTGTCATTATTTAGGGGTGGTTTGGAGTTTATTCAGAGTTAGTTTTAAGATTTAAGGTGTCTTTTGGGTGTCTTTTCCCTTCCCCTTACCAATCCGTCCTGCCCCAGCGAGGTCGGGCTTGGTTTAGGGCTTACGGTGTTTACTTAGGGTTGCCTTAAAATTATGTTACGTTTGTTTATGGTTTATCTAGGTTGGCTTAAAACTTATTTAAGCTTGGCAGAGTTTGTCTGGGGTTGGTTTATGTTGTTTCTTTCGGATACGTTTAGGGTTCATTTGCGGTTGGTCTAGGAATTGCTTAGGGGTTCTTCAAAGTTGATTTAAGGGTTTCTTTATTTTGTTAAGAAATTGAAACCTGGTTTGATGATTTCAACCTTTAAAGGTACCTTTAATATTTCTTTAAGGGTTTCTTTGACGTAGTGTTAATGTTTCTTGGAGGCTTAAGGTGTTTCAAACAGAGGGCTTAGTGTGTTATTTTCAAGTTGGTTTAGGTTTGAAAAATAGCTTCGTTTAAGATGTGGGATTGTGGTTGGAGTTTATGGCTTAGCTGTGATTGGTTTAAGGATTTTTTTGGTGCCTTTTAAGGGTTGACTTCGGCTGGTTTATGGTATTTCTTTCGGGTTGGTTTATGAGTTATTTGGGATTTATTCGGAATTGGTTTAGGGCTTGTTTGGGTTGCTTCAAGGTGTTTTTTTGTCTTGGTTTCACAGTATTTAGCATTGGTTTGTTTGGTGTTTCTTTCGGCCTGGTTGATGATAAAAAAGTGGGGTTGGTCTACCGAAAAAAATTCGGTTTGGTAGGGTTTATTCCAAGTTGGTTTATGATGTTTTTTGGGTGTCATTTAGGGCTTCCTCAGGGTTTGCTTAAATTTTATTTAGGCCTGGTTTGAAGATTTGAAGTGTTCTTTTAGGTTGTCTTTAGTGTCTATTTCAGGGTGTTGGGTGTGTATTTGGGGTTGGTTTAGGTTCGATTTACAGTAGGATGTTTACTTAATGTTGGTTTATATTTGTTCAGAGTTGATTTATGGAATCAGGTTGCCTTTTAAGAGTTGGTTTCGCGCTGATTTAGGTTTGGTTTTAAGGCGTTTGTTTATTTAAGGTTGGTTTAAATTGTTTATTTAAGGACGGCTTAAGGTCTATTTAATTATTTAGGGTAGGTTTAGGGTGTGTATCTTGCGTGGTATAGGTATAGGTTTCTGAAAATAGTTCCCGGCAAAATCTGCAAAAAAAATCCAGCAAAATTCCGTAGCCCCATATGGATCATATGGACCCCTCAAATCCATAGATGTAGCAAATCTAGCACTTAAGAAGTTGTTCGGGGCAGCATTTAACATTTGGAGACATTTGGGGAGATGGGATTGCCCAACTAAGCCATCCCGAGTTGGATGGCGCTGCGGCAAGCACAATCATTGGAGCACCCGCACGAGCCGAAGAATATTGAAAAAGAACCAGCAGACTGAAACATGGCAATGGAAAATATTTGGAAAATGTCCCACTTGCAAATGATTTTCCAATGAAAACACATGAAAACCTTCATTCAGATGGGATTTCCTAGCTAGCCATGTTTGATTACCGCAGATTTCACATAGTAGTTCTACCACCCCATTCCGAAGCGAAGAAACTGCAGCATCCCAGGCACAACACGTCTTCGAGACATCACATGATCATAGGCTAGTTCTGGTGTCATGTCTTTAAAACCTCGGCTGGCAAAATCACCCCGTTTCCATGGCGGGGTTTGATAGGGAAAATGATGATAAACCATCGAAACAATAACATACAATAACTATTTTCAAACAAACCCAATATGATCCTCCACTGGTAAGAATGGAAAAATTCCATTGCAAATCCTTAGATAAATGGATCGTGCATGTTTAACTAGTAGCAGGGGTATGATCCAAGAATATCCCAGTTACACTGGGACCAGAGAAGATCCACTGCTGTGTCCTTTCAGCACCATCAACTCGCAGCAGAGTCTAAGTGCCATTTCAAGTAGCATAATCATCCTTCAACATCTTTCAACATCTTTCAACCCAAAATATTTTCGGGTTCTACTACTACCCTCTGGTAAACTAACATAGCTATTGAAAATGACCATTTATAGTGGATTTTCGAAAATTATAAATGGTGATTTTCCATAGCTATGTTAGTTTACCAGAGGGTAGCTACATACTCGCATCATGTTTTATCATGTTCTATCTACTTTTCATGTCATCCCCACAGCTTTCCAGCTCTTTCAGCTGCAGCCAGGTCGCTGGCAAGAAAGCAAATGACACACACAGCGCTCCGGCCCTTCCCACCGTTGCAGTGCACGTAAACACCAATGCCTTGCCGGTCAGGGGAGCCAATGAACCCTGGTCCGTGAATGCGGGCTGGCCCTGCCCAAATATATCAAATATATAGTGGTCATAGGCACTAAAGCAGTAACCTCGAATGAAACAGCTCAGGGATATTAATCCGGGGTTGACATCATCCTGTTTGGGAAATTTTGGTATGTTTGGAGGCTCAAAATCATTCCGAAAATAGTTCCTCATAGTCCTGATAAAATCTCCGCATGTCATCCACATTCATCCGTTCTCTTCACTAGCCTCCGGTAATCAAACATGGTTTGCTGGAAAACCCCGCATTTACTTCGATAATTTTCCCATTTAAAGGCCCATCATGCCCCATTGTTTATAGTGGAATTCCCAATTCGTCATCTTTGCTTCGCAGCACCGCACCTTTGTCGACAAATGCCGTGATGAATCGCACGGCAGCCTGAGAACCGGTGTCTAGTTTAGATATGACCGCAATTGAGTGAAAATTTACCAGAAACCCTAAAATTACCAGGAAATCTTGGTAATTGGTAAATTACATGTAACTACAGTATACAAAGGCTGCGGCTAGGGCAAATGGAAGAAGATCAACTTGGACATACTTGGACCATCCCCTGAAATGACTCAAATGTTCTCAGAGCATTCGATCTACTCCAGAATGACTTCACCATCTACAGGGCCCTGGTAGGATCGAAGCTGCCTGGATGTCCTCCTGCTTGGGGGCAAAGAAGTCGGGCGTTGGGAGATGCAAATGCTCCAAGCCGCAATCGTCCCTGCCGTTTGGATCACTGGGTAGCCCGGGTGCCCTGCAGCTAGGTTTTCAGGAAATGATATGGAACTAGCTGATAACCAACAAAATCAGAGGATCAACCTACAAAGAAGGCGGTTGCAACCAACAAAGGAGGAGATTTCAACAAAAAGGGAACTTCTGCTTCAACCCGCAAAATGTGGATGCTTACAAACAAGATGTAAGCAAAACAAAGGATCTGAGCAACAAATGCTTGAAAAACACAAAAAAACTGCGCATTCGACAAACAAAATGGATGTGTTGGCCAACTAAAACCAGGCTTTGGATTTGTCAGATACTTCCGGACATCAATCTAAGCAAGGGAAGGAATTACATTTTGAGATGTTGGGTTGGTGGTTTGGGTTGATGCGGCTTGGAATCCGGTGGCTTCACAATCAGTTTCATGAGGGGATCACGGGATAAGCCGACAGTAGATATCGATACCATGCCCGCAAAAACAGCAGAAACCACCCTGATGGAGAACTTGCTGCATGCATCAATTCCTTGTGCAATTTGCACAGGTTGAAAGAAATGGTAGGTGTGAGCCATACTAGCCAGTTGATCATTTAACAATGATCTTCACCATCCAATGCCCAATCCCAAACTCACCCGGTCTTCGAATCCCAAACTTGCCTTCCATGCCTCTATGACTATCGTTTCGATTAATATAGATAGACAGACAGATAGATAGACAGACAGACAGATAGATAGATAGATAGATAGATTAGGGTATGATAGGGTAACCTTCTTGGATATCAAAAAGGAACCCCAGTAGAACTGCAAGGAGAACTCCATGCATTTCCGGCGCCTCACGAAGCGGTTGGAAAGCTCCATTTCCCAGGCCTCGTTTAATGTGACCTCGGCCGATCTGCCAGGAGGTTTCACCTCCGTTGGATGATCCATTCATGGTTTTTTTCGATGATCCCTGATCATCCCATTTGAAAACACATCCATTCATCCCATAATGATGGGAATAAATATCATTATTATCATCAATTATAACCATGATCATTCATATCATTCCATAATAATGATGGAATCATGATCATCCCATAATGATCATTATATTTGAATGGATGATGACTTGACTGTTGATGAAATACCCTCTGGTTATGACTAACAGTTCGCCATGGTATAGATGGCCCATAGATTTATAGATGGTTTTACCTATGAAAATAGCATGGTGGATCTTTCGCCCATTTATAGATGGCTTTACCTATGAAAATAGCATGGTGGATCTTTCCATGGCGAACTGTTAGTCATAACCAGATGGCATACAATATTATATAATAGATATCTCAAAAAAAGATATGAGAAAAATAGTTCATCCCATATTGATATATATATTTTTTATTTTATATTATATATATATTGATGATCAATCATCCCTAATGTTTTTCCCATTTGAATGGATGATGCCTGTTGATGACGGAATCGCGACGACTTCTGCCAAGGTGAGGGGACTCGAGAGATGGATCCCTTTGTGGAGGTTTTTTGCATCTTCCAAAATGCTGAAAACGATAGTTCCAATGGGAAATCTGAGAGATATGAAACCTAAATGTGTTGGTAATTGTTCCATATGAATCCCCAATTCCAAATTCAAACACACCGTATAGGTTGCTGTTGGGCCAAGGTGCCATTGCACCCACACCCTTGGATTTCAACTCTTCAAGGTCCTCCATTGTTCGAGGTAGGCCTCGGAAATTGGCCAACTATGAAGGTTGGGGATGACGAATCATTGCTGGGATATATCATTGTTGTTGCTATGAACCTACATAATAGTGGATATATCAATCAGTTATGCAACCTACATCATTATCATGTACGATAACCACTTGGATACAATTTTATGCCGCGATTTCAATGGTCAGGGTGAAATTCCACGGAAATTCTTCAACTGTACCCAATCCTAAACGCTCACTCAATTTACTTAAACAACTCGCAGAGTCGTCTGACCCCTTTAAGATAGACCTGAACTTTCCTGAAGGGCCCCACTTTCCAATTCTTGTTGGAGAACTCTCACTGACGTTTTTCGGGTGAATGCTGAAGAATACTGTCTGAAGAGTAGGGCACCCAAACAACCCCGCCCGTGCAGGGGGCGACCCGGATCAGCATTCCTAGTCATAGCTGGGTCATACCCCACTCCATCTACCCACGCCGACCCCCCTGTAAGCCACGTGGCTTCCTAAGTAGATATACTGATCAATCTGGCAACGGCGGCAATGTCAAGTGCGGACACGGACCAGAGCTTGGGATTCAGGGACAGCAGGAAACCATGGTTTTTACTCGGAAATCTTGGGCGTCCCCGGTAGATGTTCCGATAAACCGATTCTTGGAAGTAGCTAACCTTCTTTTTAGGGGAAATATGGGTTTCGAATGTGTTTGAATGTGTTTATATCCCGAAAAAAATGTACCCCTTGGAATCCTTGGATCAAAGACAACTGGAGGCGTCCCTCCCTGCGCAGCGCAGGCGCGCCTTGTGATAATTAAATTTGGACCGCCTCTTTACCAAGCGCAGGATATATGAGCAAACACCTCAGGCCGAAATCCCTCAAAAAAAAAAGCATCCCCCCTTTGAAAAAAGCACCTAGAGGTACAATGCGAAAATGGTGTGGTTTAGTTCTTAGTCAAAAAAAAGTGGAGGATCCTCAGGTTCTACAACTGGATAAGTCTAGGGTTCACAACCTGTAAAGCTTATTTTCTGTTGGCTTAGCAGCATCGCAGCCAAGGCTCTTTGCACTCGAGGTGGGCCACACCCTGTCGCTGCGACGAATGCCAAGTAGCAAGGAAAACAAACCTGAGCATCTCTGGGAATTTGGGGAGTTAGCCGGCAATAAATGGCGATGATTTGGGTTTTTTTGGCAATAAATGGGAAAAACGTATGAAAGGATACCATAGAATACCAACATTCACCAACATCTACTAGGGCGCTTTGATGGGAGTTGGGGATCATGAAAAAACGGTGCCAAGCAGCTAGG